AAATCGAAAGGCTTATGAAGCTACATACTCTGCTAATGCTTTCGAAACTTCTATAATTTCATTTTTCGTAGCTTTCAATTGAGCATTAGAAGATTCCAATTCATTCACCAACGCGCTTTCTCCCGATTTGGCCGCCTCAATAGACTTACGAACTTGTATGAGTTCAGATTGTGACAGTGCCAATTCAGAACTCTTATTCGCCAAGGTTGAAGCCATAGAACTTATTTCTGTTCTCAATCTGTATAAGATGCAAATGAATAAACAACACCGAAACCATACAGATCTGTTTGCTGTTGAGACTTGGTAAGTTTTTGTTTCCATGATTCTAGCTCAGAGTGCGCATTGTCAGAGATAACATCGATGCTGAATAAAACACTAGCACATTTTAATCTACCAAGACTCACTGATTCGATACTGAGGAAGAGACATCGGTTATTTCACTAGTAGTTGCTCCTGCTTGCATAGTAAGCCCTTCCTCTTCACATTGTCGCATAGCATTTTCTTCCTCAATCCTAAAAGTCAGCTCTTCTATCTCATTTTTCTTCAGAAGTAATTCTTCGTATATCAGTTTCTTAGACTCCTCGGAAGATTTCAACTGCAAAGAAACTGATATCGGGGAACATGTTCAGTATGCGAACTTTGTCTCTCAGAACTTGCAATTCTGGGTCAGATTTCGTCTGCTCATGCAGCTCTTTTATTCTGAAATAAAAAGAATAGCTGATAGCGTGTAGCAAGCTACTAAACTGTTTGGAGAGTTGTATAATTTCAGCACGCTCTATTTCCCTCTCAGTCATCAATTGGTCAATGTGTTTATCTTTTTCTTTCAAAGCATCTTGCAATGATGAATGTCCGGATTGAGCACATTTCAGCCCCCTATACGTACTCTCCATTCTGGATGAAGCTAAACTAGATTTTCCAACAGATGTTAAAGATTCTCTGCTCCCTGCACTCCCTACACGGTTCTGATTCCGAAGTATTGATGTTTTATTATGATGAACCTATAAGAAATTTACTTTTAGTGGATAATTTACGACCTATACCGAAAACTTGGATGCAGAGGTAGCTAACTTCCGGGTCTTACCAGCGGAGGCGAATATACCAAACATGGGCTTACATACAAAGTATCGTTTGCCCTATTGAATGGAAAATTATGAGCTCTAATCGTCCTACCCTACTTGCACACTTCCATCGTTTTTTCCAACGGCTTGATCTAATTCTATCCCCGCCCATACGCCTTGAGCAAAATCAGTTGTGTCAAGATATCTGAGTATTCCTGTTTTTTCGCCTGCAATGACTCTATCCCCGACATCAAACCTGACAAAGTTATCGATTAGGGATCAGATAAAATTCAAAACAACCCATATTCTACAGCAAATTTACTGATCGGTTCAGATGTAGGAGTTGGGGATTTGAAACGGCCCGGAGACATTAATACTCTTTCTAACTTGCTTGATTTGCAGAACAAACCATGATCTTGCACACACTAAAATTGTTACAAGTTATTACATCGATCTTTTAATACTTACCGAAAAATACCGGTGGCCATTAACCGAGCCATCGTTTTTACCAGCAGCTTCATCTAATACCAGTCCTATCCACTCTCCAGGAGCAAATTTAGTGTTTCCTATGAAAGCTATTGTTCCAACCCGATTATTAACTTTTGCTCTGTCTCCGATCTGAAAAGATATCATGTTCTGATCTAGAAGATCGCACCTACTTGCCAACTCCCAATCCCGCTAACGCATGATGATATTGAGAAAACAGACTCTCTACTGTCGCTCCGTTGCAATCGTGGTTCCATTACTGGTACTTGGAAAAAAATTAATTAATTTTGCTTCTTATACAATCCGAGCACAGTGATAGTTCGCATAGGGACAAGACGCGCAATAGTGCGGATACGCAAAGTATCTGCGGGACGCGCTTAACTGTCGACTACTGCGCTAAATAAACAGCCCAGTTTCAAAAAATCTTCTTTTTTATTTCACACACTTACAAATTAAATAACATGCTTTGTTCTATCAACAGAAGATAAGAATACCTATAAGTTGAAGATACTTCTTTTTTCTTATACATTCTGTGACATATCCTTATTTCGATTAAATCTTTTTCATTTCTACAAATGTGTGACACTTCCATAAGAATACAAAGATTTTTTTACTCTTCATAAATGATAATGTTTTATGTATAATGTAATAAAATAATGTTATGAAGCAGATGACAAGAAACATGTTAGAAACAGGAATCAATGCGGACGGACAAGACTGATCAACTGCGAATCGGCTTGGTTATCAAGAACATTCTGATATGACATCCAATAATGATTTTGTATTTTTGAGCTTCTCCAGCTCTGTATACCCTCCAACAAATCTACCACATATGAATATCTAAAAACTGTATTAGTCAGCTATAATTATATTCAAACCTGAGGAAGAGTCGTTTGCCGCGTTTTGAATACTAGTCCATTGACAAAAGATTGGTACTCCCCAGGGTTATCTTTTTTAAATGTATCTAGAGTGCATTCTGTGAAAGGTATGTTTTCCTGCTTCAAGATCGATTTCGACTTTGAGCAAAATGAGCATTCCTCTTTAGTAAATATGAAAACTGGATGGGCATTAACCTAAAAGAACATGAGAAATTCAAACAATTCTTGAGAGCAATAAACTTCTCTTGTTATCTTATCCACATCAACTTTAGATTCAATGGTACCCATTCTCTGAGTTTTGGGGTATTTAATGAAAGAAAAAAGTAGCAGATATCGCACTTGTAATTGAAAAACAACAAAGGAATACATTAACAATATTCTTATTTATGTTTAGCAAAGACAAGTAATGAGTGGTTACAAGATCACGACTAAGACTCAGAGCCTAATTCCAGCACATCTTGTACAGGTTTCGCAGCCTGAAAAAGAAGAAAAAGCTCCACATGAATGGATGACAAGACCTTCAACAAATTCTCTATTTTAGGACGTAGGCTCTTCAGTCGCTGTTCTTTTCCATTAATATCGCTTATTAACACACTTCTTCGGCCTTCCTGTTCATCTAAAGTGCATGTGAGCCTGAAAAATAATTATTAAAAAACTTCATATAACTTTTTTCACTGTTTCCGTTGCATCAATTCAAAACTTAGTCGGGCTAGATGTTTCGCATGTTCGTCATTCTTTGTAATTTCTGGCTTGCTAACTTCTTCCGGAGCAGATGAATAAAAGTCCTCTTCAGAAGCTAACTCAATACTCTCTTCTCCAGATCTTAAAATATATAAGTTTCTGACACGACAAGCATACCCTATACCTAAACTGCAGACATCTCGTTATTTCTTTTTTCAAATGATAAATTTCACTATTGACATTTTGTAGCTGTAAGTACTGGGCTTCAGCCTAAATGAAAATCTTAATCTAGATTTATACATATGAATAATTTACTTGCTGTAAACGTATAGCAACATCTGCTTTGTTTTGAGCTGTTGCATACTGAGCTAGGCGGCCTATTCTTCTCATCTTAGATAATGTCACATACAAACAATCAGTTAAATCCTAGAAATAACTAATAACATAACTACAGATAAGCGAGATATTACGCACAACTGATTTTCCACCGATTAGATTGTTCAAGAGTTCTCGAACTTTGGCTGATTCTTTCAGAAAGGCTTGTTCTAGCTGCGCATGAGAAAATTCTTTGGAAAACCTATCTTCTATTTTGTAGAACTCCTTAAAAGCTTCAAACATTAAATATTACCTCATAATCTAACCTTTGGTTCAGAGAAGGTATGTTCTCCTGGTAAAAGGACGGTACCGTTCATTTCTGGAAGATTGATGAAACATCGAACTAAGATCTAAGTTATGATAGGATTGCAACCATCTTTAGTCGGAATAAATAAATGCTAATTTATCAAATCGAAAACTACGATATACATGATTATGTTTAGGTTCGAGCATCTTTAAGGCAAAGGACATTAATTATCTTAACGTACAAACATTGAAAGTTGTAAGTTTGTGTATATTAAAACATTAATATTAATAAATAGCAGTTTCATAAACCATCAAAAATTTCTCCACGTTGACGAGGGGTGCCTCGAGCGCTCTATAAAACAGAATATAGAGAAAGCTATGATCTGAGATTCATGTTTAAAACACATAGCACACGGTTACTCGCAAAACTTTCGGCCAACTTACCTCGAATGTCATGGAAATATAATTCCAGTGAACTAGTACTTTTCGACTAAAATTTCAATTTCAGAATTCGAGTAAAACTAAGATTACATGTAGAAAAAAATGATCTCACCATTCTCAGTGTTGTCAGTTTATCAAAACCATTTTGTAAATTTCGAGCATGGGCTAAATCATTCTCGGTTTGTTGGTCCTCTCTTTTCAAAGCATCAATTTCAGATCGGAATCCTGCAAGCTTCTCCTTGAAAAGTCTAGACCTCTCTGTGAAATCCTTCCTTAAAGTCAAGTCTATATTGCTAAAGAAAAAAACACCAACCGTGACTTTTCAACTTCTTGCTTCATATTTTGAATATCTACTAAATGATTGACGCTAGGATCGGGAGGGACGGGTCCGAACTGCGGATTGTTAATGTTAGGCGTGTTCAAAAATTGATTACCTGATTACCAACGTAAAACATAGATAAATTACGGAAACTGTGCGTTGGCGCTGTGTTTCGTAGGTCAGTATCCGTTATAGAAGACGTCATTAGTTGATGATGAGATTTTGCAGATTGAAGCCCCCCCAACGACCAATGCTAAAAGCTTATTGCTTATTTCCAGGAGAACGATTAGCTTGACTCACAGTTTGTTCGTTCGACCCGCACATTTGCTTACGATCCCCATTCACGTCTGCCAAAGACATAGATATTCTTTGCGCATACAGTTCCGCTTCCCTAGCCTTTCTTTCCATCCTCATCAACGCTTCTTCAGACTAGTATAAACATAAGTATAAATCAAATGTAGATAATTACCTTAATGTGAGCCATGTTAACACGATGAAACTCAGCCTCTGCTTCACTAGCTTTTTTGGCTAATGTCAAGTTCTCTTGTTCAGTTGTACGAGCTTTCTCCGCCAAAAGCTTTGCCGTTTCGTCTGATCTTCTCACTGTTTCCTGAGAAAACACAATGAGAAATGATCCTAAACTAATTCTTACTCGCACTTCCAACAATTCGGCATTTATTCTCTCTACTTCGATCCTTAGCTCATTCCTTTCATTTTCTGCTTGAATCCTTTCTTCTCTCTCCCTGCCTAGCCTCGCCGCTTCTTGCTGTCGACGAGCTCTTTCCTCCTTCGCTTGTGCTTTCATTTGTTGTACCTATACATAAAACTTCATCATGAATGTTTTTTCTCACTTCAAGCGTATCTGGTTTTCTTCTACGTAGGTAAAGGTTATGAGTTCCCATGCAGAGATCGAGTATAGATGGGTTGATAGATTTATCCTGAGCTCTGAATTTGATAGTTGAATTGTCCATTGTTTTCATCACAAACTGAAGCAATATATATATATATTAAACAATAGTGGGAAAAATTTAGAAATACTCTGCCGCGACTAAACGAAATATTTTTTATCTCGCTCCAGGAAAAGAAGGGACGAGGTGTAATTCGGTTGCTTCCTTTGTATATTCCTAGACCCTGCGCAGAAATGCCCAGATGGAGATCGGTTTCTTTCTTGTTCTGTAAACTACAAGTTATGGGTGTCTCTCGAATCTGTTCTGACACATATAGGGTAAAAAAGAACTCCATACATCTCCAAGTCTTGAGCAACACGCAAGTACTCCATTTCCGCTTCTTCCCTTTAGCAGAACATTAAGAGCAACAAAAGCGCACAAACTTTGATTGGCCATGATTATTCATCCACCATCGTTTTATTCTTTCTCTCCACATGTCAGCACTCATATCATACTGATCAATGACTCGTTTCGGTAATAATCGTTCCAGATCCAAATTACAAAATTCTTCTGAGCAATCGCCGTGCTAAGATAAAAGGCATCATAGTGTTAATAGTGTAAAGCACATACGATTGCTTGAACGGCGTAGCTCGCTAACAGAACTGAAGCTTCAGGGGAGCAATATAAAAACATCGAAAGAATTGCCTGTTTTATTTGAACAAAGAAAAGATGTCTCGTTAAATCCTAATAGCATAGAAATTATAAATAGCTTTGATAGAATGTACCTGTATAAGTTCTTCTTCAACCTCTTCCGGAAAAAATTTGACTAAAAACAGAAACTGATAAGTCCCGTCTTCAGATCGAGGCACATCTTGCTTCAGAATCTGGAGAAGGACATACACGCGAAAAGAATTTTATGCCTCACGTGTTTGTCCATTTGTAACCAACAAGGGATGTTCTTCTTGTTAGTAAACTGCAACCCAAAAAACCATATTTCTCGTAAGCCAATTATCCTACAGACTGCATCAAACAAATGTCGGCCGGTCCAATTAGTCTTAATCTTGGCTTCAACAGTCAGGAAAAAAAATAAGAGCACCTCTATTGCAATTTTATCAAGATCAGCATCCATGGTGATGACCTTTGCGTGAATATGTTTATTCGACTTCCAAATCAGACCCATTTTTAAAACGAGATTTTTTTTATGAACAAACCATAGCTGAAAAATGAATACTTTGAGCTTGATTAGTTGATATCAAGTTGTTTCAGAGCCTTTTCCAAAGCATGAGAAAAAAATACGTAAGCAACCGTGTAAGAAATTTCTATTCAAACGAAAACTACGTATTCAGCTACTAATTCCCTCAATATAATGATTGTAATAAGTTTTAGAAAATATTATCGAATGAAACAAGAGACTGGATATGTTCTCTTTACAATACCCTCATAATGTTTCCGTATGAAATCATCTTTGTTAAAAAAAAGTAATAAATACACAACGTAGTGGTTTTGTTCCACAGTATATTTGATAGGCACATATGAACGAATAAGATAATAGTAAGATTACTTCTTAGATTGCTCACATGTTTCATCATATAGTTTGAGATTTTCTCACATGTCTATTGTCTGATTACGCAAATAGAAGTTACATTTTTAGATGACTTGTCCTGAAATAGATTCGTTAAACAACACTGCTAAAAAATTATCCAACTGTATCGCTGCTGGTATATGTTGAAACAGTCAAGATTTACATTTCTCATAATTTCAGATGAATATAATGCTAGAGAAATGATCCGGCATGCGAGTTCCTTAAAAGGAAAAGCTCAATGTATTAAGGAATTCCAACAGTTCTTGGAATCTATAAATGAAACAAGTGAGACTGGCCAAAGAAGAGCTATCCTATTGGATGAGCTGCAAAGAGAGAACAAACTGATAATGGCGTATCAAGTACTTTTTGTTTTTTTGAAATTATAGTATCTATTTTTACAGGAAGAAAACAGGGTATTGAAAGATGCTGTTGAAGATTGTTTTAATACTTTGAACAGAATCATGGAGAAGCATAAAGTAGTTTCGGAAAAAGTGCAAAAAACCAGGTAAGATTATTGGTGTTTATGCACACTTTATCAATTTAGAAATGCTTCAATGACCCTTGATGATATTTGGAACCTGATTTTTATGATTAATGATAATAGCGGTAAGGAGAATCTTAGGTTAGTTAGTTTTGAGTTTTTGAAGTCCAAGTAAAAAATTTTCAAGAGGGTTTAACTGTCAGCTTTTAAACCTAGTTAGTCAGGAGGAACATCGGTGCTTTGCTTACACAGAGAAACTAACTCAACTTCGCCATGAGCATAGTGTCTTAAAGTACGTAGTCTAGACTTGTGTGTTTATGACAACCTGGTTGTAGAGAAATGTTGCGGAATTCGGAGATATCCAATCCCGGAGTTCAGAAAATATTTTCAAATATCTTGACCGAAGTGAAGCGGAAAAGAGTGTGTAATGAATCTTCAGAAGATGAAGAGTTGGACGATACTATTATTGAAGTTTCTCCAGTTTTGAACAACACCGTCATTGAAGTAATTTTTTTTTGATCAAGAAAAAACAGCTTGCTATTTTAGGTGAGCAGATCATGCGCAACTGATTCCTCAACAATATCCTGAATCGTTAAACTTTTTTCCCCTTTGTGTACTTTCAAATAAAACTAATTTCTATCTTTTTTCTTTTTTGACATATCACTCAATTTAAGTTGAATCGTTGAAAAATGAAATTCAGTGTTCAACAATCATTGTCCTTTTTCTTCTATCTAAGCAGAAGATAGGAAGAAAGCGGAAAGTCTCCAGACGCGCTTGTGCTAGATTGCTTGCAAAGACATCAGCTAGGACTCTGTCGATTTAGCCGCTTCTTAGACCGCTGTTTGGGATTGATGGCAAAATCCAATACAGACTTGGAAAAGTTCCGCCTCTGAGTCATCTCAGTTATCTTTCTGTTCGTCAAAGAGAGATGTTATGTAGCTCGTTGTAGAAAAAAAAACAATTTTCGAGAAGTTTTTAATGTTAGTTTCCGAGTTCTTATATACATTAAAATGTATTTTCGTTTAGATTTCAAATATCTATCATGAGTAGGAGGCACCGTCGATCTAAAGTAACACGTGTGGTGAATTTGGTGAAGAAAATAATAGCTTTCTTCTTTTCCCATATTGGGTTATGTGCTTTGGTAAAAATGTTTTAACGCTTTTCCCTAAAGTTTGGAGGAATTTTTGAAATGAAGTTAGTGCTCAAAACTGAAAGATGAAGCAGATTTGTGAGGAAAGTTGTCATCGGAAGTCCCAAAATGGCAAGCGCTCCATCTTTTCACATTGCTTTAGGAAGGCTTCGACTCCCCAAAGATAGCCGATTTTATGACTTTGAATGCGAACGAAACCAGAGAAATAGAGAACCAATGAAGATAGACATCTTCAAAATCGTTACAAAGAAGAAAATGTTCAGAGTGAAACACTTTTTTGCAGGTTGTGGGGTATGCTCTCTTAGGGGCCGTTATTTTCCAGGCGGTTGAAGGCCCTCATGAAGAGCAGGTAACCTATACTCATCGCATGATTTCAAGTCCTGGTTCATAGATTCAGTCTGAAGTTACCTCTGCACGCGAACGAGCAGTAACTGTTGTTTGGAACACGACATTCCGAGTTAACCGCTTAGATGAGACACAATGGAAAAACGCTGTTTATGTTGAGGTGAGGTTCTATAACTTTTGAATCATTTATTTTGCGTTCAAGGTGAAAAAATTTCAAAAAATTTGTATGTCTGCTATTCGTCGTGGATATGATGGGAAAGAATTTAAGCAAGCGGCGCAGTGGACATTCACAGGAGCTTTTTTATACTCTTTGACAGTCATAACAACCATCGGTAAATAATGTTTAGTTGAATATACATAGTGCAGCACTTTTCAAGGATATGGTAACACAGCTGCCAAAACATATATTGGAAAAACATTAACAATGTTATATGCAATCATAGGAATTCCTCTTATGCTGCTATTCTTAACTAATATCGGAGATGTCATGGCAAAGATTTTCAGGTTAAATAATTTTCGCGGAAGTTACAGTGGAATATTCAGATTCATGTTTGCGCAATCAATCAGACTAAAATACCGTTTGATTCTATGGCATAAGAAGAGAAAAGTAGCAATTGGAGAAAGACTCATTCATATAATTATCTTAAGGCTGCTAAAATTCGTAGAGCAAACTCTTTGGTTTCACGACTGACTCGCGGACATCGAGTGAAAGCGGACAGTTCTATAGATTCATTAGGTATAAACCGTTTTAGAGCGAGCAAAGAATTTGATTAGGAGGACCAGATGTGGAAGATCTGTTAACTGCTCGCGTTGAAATGGAACAATTAGAAGTTCGTGAAACTGCACAAGCTCAGCTGGACAAGATAACAGTGCCTCTCTCTCTAGTTGTCTTCACTATGTTGGCCTATTTAAGTGCAGGTAGCATTCTTAATAATTTCTCAAGTAAAAATTACTATAGGAACAATCCTCTTCAAAATCTGGGAAGGATGGACTTTTCTTGAAAGCTTCTACTTCTGTTATATATCTTTGACAACAATAGGTTTGTCTCCTAAATGTGCTAAAACCTCATGGCTCACAGAAAATGAAGTTACATTACTCGAAAAGACCTCCCGAGGGAGATGTTCCATTTTATTTCTTTCTTTCTGATATAACCTCCAACGAAAGACAAAATAACACTTGGTAGAAGAGATTTATTGTAGGGTTTGGAGATCGTTTCCCGGGCGCCTCTGTCGGAAATGACAAAGATTCTCAAGAAAAACTGGTTATCACAAGTGTGTATCTCTTGTTTGGCATGGCGCTTTTGGCTATGTGTTTCAATCTGGCACAGGAACAGGTTCAAAACAAGACGAGGTTTGAGGAAATTTCGATCGAGAGTCATATTATTATTTAGATGGATTGCTGATAAATTCCGGTCGAAAGAAGACGATGAGGATTGAACCCGGGTTATTTTATTATCAATAAATATTTTCAAATATATATGTGTGTGTTCGCTACTGCCAGAAACGTAAAAACGAACGTACATTAGAGGCCAAAGGTCAATGACATCAGATCATGACTCTATCGATCTGTATATATGAAGAAACAATTTCTCCAGTTATCATATAGGAAGAATGATCCCGGCTTGCGAATTTTCTGCTGGTAATTATATTTTTGTTTTTCTTCTTATTGTCACTATTTGTTTTTAACAAAAAAATTTCAGCAAACTCTTTAAAGAAAATTGATATTCATGCTCATGTTTTGCCAAAAAACATTCCTGATTTTGAAAAAGTTTAGGATTACCATAATTTCTATTTAAAGACTAAGTTTAGGAATTCGGTTATGGAGGTTTCGTCAAGTTGGACCATAGAGAAGATGGGACCACGCAAATGATTAAAGACGGAAAACTGTTCCGGTAAATGCTTGAGAAATTATATAAAGAATAGAAGATAATGATTCAGAGTTGTGGAGAAAAACTGCTTTGATACCTTGAAACGTATAGAGGATATGGATAAGGCTCATTGTAACGTTCAATGCTTGAGTACTGTTCCAGTTATGTTTAGCTACTGGGTATGAAACTCAAACTAATTATTGCAATCTCAGTATATACTTCTAGGCAAAACCGGAGGATACGGAAATAGTCTCTAGATTTGTTAATGATGATATTATCGCTCAATGTCAAGTCGCTCCAGATAGGCTTATACCATTAGGAACCCTGCCCATGAATGATACTCAGCGAGCCATTCAAGTTAGTTTGACTTTCTAGTTCTATTTTAAGTGGTTGTAAGCAGTATGAAGAGAGAGATAAAGTATAGTAATAATTTATTTGGATTGTTAAGAGATTATTTCTCGTATGGCTATGTTATGACCATGAAATCGTTGAACATGTGAGCGATGAAACGAAGAATACAAAAAATCTTAAGCAGCTGAATTGAGCTCCTGTTGATTGTGAGCTACGCTATTGGAATGTTTCAATAGGATTATAATGCTTTTCTATCAAACCCGTTATAATTCAAAACCTAGCCCCGATGAGCTGTTGAGTGAAATGAGAATCCTATGCCATTTGCAGTATTATAATTATTATTATTCAGCCATCTCGTAGGTAATGACTCCAATATGCTATGTTGAAAAGGGAGAAAAGAGAAGGAAACATTATAGCAGATAAAGTGTCAATACGTTTAGCTAGCCTTTCCCGTCTTTGACGTCTGCAAAAAACTGAATAGAAGAAGAAAATATTCATGAAAACCTTGAACAGCCTTCAACAGGTCTTTCTTCAGCTTCTGGAATTTCATCCAAAACAGCTGAATATCCTTGCGGATGAGGTTCACATGAACAACTGAATATTTTGTAACTAAAACAAATATAGAAGTAATCTTACCGGCCTCCCAAGGACCGCATGGCCGAAGCTAAGCTGCCATTCAAACCAAAACCTGGTGGTATATATCCATAATCATTATCACGTAGAGATAGTAAAGCCGCTGATTCTTCCTCACATTGCGTTTTGTTTTTTCTATAGAGTGATAATATAACAATTATAACTGATGATTAACCGATGCATTGTGCTCATGTTGCTGTGGTAGTCATTGTGAGGAGGAGGGGGAGAGGTTTTCACTGGGAGAGGCATCACCGAGTTTGGAGTAGGTGGATTGGTAGGAATATTATCCTAGAATATGTTATTACTTGTTTTTCAAGCTTACTACCTCGTCTTCTCGTGATAAATACCCTACCCAAGCAAGCTCTAATAGAGAACAAAACACAAATGTCATGCATGATAGCATCCAGACGTCAATAGCCTGAAATCATTGAGCGCGGAAATAGCTAACCACAAGCTTTTTTGATTGTCTACCTTAACATAAGAAACGCGTGGTAGATTCCTGATAATATTTCCAAACTGAAACGTCATGGCTAACAAGCTATTGACCCCTAACATGGTACGTGCTGGAATAGCTTTCGATCCTAGAGCGAAGGAAATCCATGCTGAATACTCGAACATTAATTAACAATGATCGGCTTGTTATTGGTTATTATTAGTGAAAAAAAAAAACGAAAAAAATTCAATTGCTATCAGGGAACCTTCTATCTAACCGAACTGAATGTTTGAATTATTTGTTGGAAGGTTTAAGATTCTAAGCTTTAGCTAAGTCATCAATCTTTCATCCGTTTTTCGTTTCTCTCGTACTCTTTTCACATGCAGAAGAAGTATGGTTGCTTGCTTATCGATCATAATACTTCTTTGCTATATATAGTTGAGTAAATAATTATTTCATTCAAAAAAATTAGCCCATATTGTCGATATAACTTACATATACAAATTGTTAGGTACGTTGGAAGATATGCTTGTAAAATGTACCAGCCTGCTCGACGTTTGAAATGGAACATCATAGTTAATTCATGCCATAAGCCAGCAGGATAAGGCTAGATACAATGTAGAAACAGATGTCATATTTTTTTACCTCAGCATTACGAACATTGGTGATTTTCTCCAATTCGTAATCAGCCAGCTCCATTTTTTCCCTCATTTTGCTCACACCCGCCTCAGTCCAGGACATCGAGACTTCATCGGTATTATAACTGAAGAAAAAATAAAAAAACCCAGAGTCTTGACTTACTTAAAGGACTCGAAAGTTAGAGAACAGGTAACATTATCAAATGGAAATCTTGTCAAATCCATCAAGCATGGCCCTTGAAGTTTTAGTCGATAATTAGTCCATACTAAAACAAAACTTGAACATTCTTCAGGTGCAACCCCTTGAGATACGCACTCCTTCTCGAGCCAAATATTTTTTTTTAAATTTGGTAGTCGTAGAAGCTTCGAATATTCTGACTTGACCAGCGATGTTGTCAAGCTTGACAAAGAATCGATGCAAAGTTCTTTATCTCAGTTTTGCCATCTGTCTATTCGTCTTGCTTTGTAAAGCTTTTCGTCTCTTCTCGGATTTATCTCATCTTATTTTTCTTTTTAGAATAAGTAAAAAGACTTTAAGGACAGAGGAGAATTATCGCATCAAGTTTTTAGATTTTAGCGAAACTTTCTTCAACGGGTTTTAAATATGTTGTGCTAGAAGGCATGATAAAATGAAAGAAAAAATACAGAATAGTATATGACTATTTGTTTTGAGAGAGGAAGCTTTCCAACCCAAAATTGTATTTTGTGAGTTTTTTTTGTTAGTAGTTAACTTGTAGTATTTCATATCAAAAAAGATGTTTTATGACAGAAACTGAACCCAGATGAAGGCAATACTTATAAAATATCCTAACTACCCAATACTCTAAATGTGCAGAATGATGCCTAATGAAGAAATATATTATTGATCTAGTTAAAGTGGAGAATACTCGAAAGATTTCGCAGGCCAACCCGAACATTAGGGTAATTGTTCTTTGAAGACATACCTGAGCCGTTGGAATATATTAGTAGAAATATGTTGGGAAATGGGCTCTTATGAATATCAGCAGTTTTAGAGTTAATGAAACAAGAGTTTGGTGTCCACAGCTTCTCCAGTAAAACACTGTTGAGCGAAAGATTTTGTTTGCATGGATTCAAATCACTATATACTAAAGCTGGATCAAGCCACATTTCAGATATATAAATGTCGAGCTAAAATAAGAGCAGTTGATAAACCATAAAAGATCTATTACTTGGAAATCGCTAGTTATATCAGATATTGTTGTAATCTCTTGTACCCACACTTCAACCTGCACGTCAACCTGCAATCAGTTTCTTGTTGAACTTTATATTCATAAAAACTGTATAATTTTTCTGAGCCCTGCTCTAAAACCTTGAAAAAACAGAAAATGAAAGTTGGAACGAAAAACAAAACATTTTATGCTCATTTGTTTTCAAAAGCAGAAGTTACGTTTTTTTCCAATCCTACTGTTTTACTACTTACGCGGCCTCCAGGAATTTTATGACGGTTATAACCAGCCATAATTTTCTGCAAAATATATGAGTCATTGGCGCATATATGATCATCTGCCGCTCTGGCAACCTGAAAAGGTTTCTAGCTTCTATTTTTCGTTGAACAAACTTTGCTGGGATTGAACGGCTTCAAACCGCCGTGTTCGTCAATTTCCCAATCATAATTACGACTTAGCCGACGTAGTTGCCGAGAATTCCTTCTGTAAACGGCTTTCCTTAAATGATTATTCTTAAAATGCCTCGTCGAGTTTTGCTCTCCCATTCACTCAGCTTAACGTCCTATCATTTAATTACTATTCAGGTCCACTCCAATATGAACCACGCTTCTTTTGTTATTTAACTCTTTCCATAGCTTCCTTAATACCCTAGGGGCCTGTTTTCTGAGCGATTCTCTTGTTCTTTGGCTACTTGACGCTCTAGATATTCTATTCTCCCATTCTCACCATAACTCTCTTTTTCACTCTATAATATTACGATTCATAGAAGTAGAAGAAGTAAAAAGATAGATTGCGAGTGATAGAGTATAATAATCAAATGATTGTCGCAAAGATTCAACTACTAACTCTGTTCCGCATGTGAAAACCTCTTACATTTATTTCATAGTTCGCAATTTGTACGTTTCAAAAGCCATTCCAGTCGTTACGAGTTAAGATTTCCAAAACTCGCTTGCATGGTTTAACAAGCATTTAAAGAAGTTGAAATCGATTGCATTCAAATAGCATCATTTTCTTTTTTCAACTAATAATTTGCTTCATGCCTTCAAAACAAAAAGCTCCATTTTCACACAACCGCTATGAGAACCATGACAGCTGCGTATGCTTGCGCGCGTAAAGCAGGATAGTTTCCAGGAAAGAGCGTGTTCTTACTTTCACTATTACTCTTTATAAATAAAACTCTCTTCTTGTTTCTATCAACGCACTGCGGCCTTTCTCACCAGCTTTAAATAGATTCAAATCAAATCATATTTTGCGAAGCAGAAAATGAGCGAAGGAAAATTACGAAAGTAACGCTCGCTGAGTGATTATTCATTTATTGGTTTGAGGAAGTTTTGAAACTTCAATTTACCTGCCCGATCCTGATATCATAAGTAGAAATAGTAAAAATAACAACAAATATAGTTGTGGCATTATGAAATGTGCAGGTGATAATAGTTGATTGAAATATAATGATTTACTACCCGATCAGTAATCTATGTCGCAACTGAAAAAGAGGTGTGGAATTGGGTTTTCGATTTAAAACAGACAAATTCTTCGGGAAAATTTGAAGTGTTCAATTTAAAAGTCGATACGAAACTACAGCAGAGCTAGCAAAGCGTCTAGTATAATTTGACGAGTTCGTGAAAGTTATTCGAATGATCCAAAAAATACGGAGCAACTTTAATGACAGTTTCTTGGCGTATGACCCTAAAGCTATTTAGTGTATTGAAAAAAAGAAAATGATGAATCTTGTAAATTGCAGAACAAATTGAATTTGCTCTTATAGCACTGCACGTACGGCAGAAGGGGTGGAGAAAATAAGAAGGCGAACTAGACCCCACAAGCCAATTGATTGTCAAAAAGTAGGCGGAGTTTTGGGTTTTCTTCTACGTCTTGCTCTTTTACATGTCCTTCCTATGATTGGGAGCTGCAGTTTCAACCGGGAAATAGAGAACGATAGTCTAAATACTTTAGTTATTACAATTTTCACTTTACTCAATCTTAAGATCTGCTTAGGAAAAATAGACAACACTATATTATCTCAGTCTAAATTTGATGCTTGCGCGCGAAAATATAAATGAGGGATGTTTGAAGTGTCTCAATATCGCTTCTTTTTGGTAACATTCAAATTTGATGAATGACAGAAAAAATTGGTGAAAACCGTTTTTTACAACTTTTATTTCATTTTCATAATCCGAATTAAAAAATAAGTTCACATCCATATGAATGAATTTGAAACTTGTTTATACAACTGATTACTCACCCTTTCGAGACAGTGATGACTATCCTTGTACATTTGACTTTGTTTCAGGAACTGAAGAGATGCGTTTCCATGGGATTTCGTGCTATCGAGATCGGTTCACATATCGAAGAAAAAAGCTTGGACCACCATGATTTTTGGCCCCTCTACAAGGTTCTGACATTAGTTACAAATTTAAAAAAACTTTATTGAAGGAGTGCGAAAGTCTCAATGTTGTGATATTTGTTCATCCATGGGATATGCACAATTGGAATGGCCGTCTTAACAAATATTGGATGCCTTGGCTTGTTGGTACGTTTACAACCACGACCTAATAATAAAAACTGAATAAAGGAATGCCTTCTGAAACTGCTCAAGCAATTTGTTCCATATTGATGGGGAACATTTTGCTTCTTTTCCCTAAGCTACGATTCTGTTTTGCTCACGGTGGAGGATCTTATCCGCAGATAGCTGGAAGAATTAGTCACGGTTATAAAGTTTGTAATTACATAGAGATTTATTCACAATTGTAAAAAAACTACATATCAGGTTCGACCAGATTTATGTGCCATCAATTGTGCAATCAGTCCTGATGAGTTAAAAACTCGAATATGGACAGACTCACTGGTACACGACCCGGAAGCACTGAAACTTTTGATTCATACAGTTGGCATGGTAAGTTGTTGTCACGAAGATTAGTTCGTTTAATCTCATTATTACATAAAGGATAAGATTGTACTCGGAACCGATTATCCATTTCCTCTCGGCGAACTTGTTGTTGGTCAAGTTGTGGAAAATTATCCACATTTAACAGTGGAAGATAAACAGAAGCTACTCTGGCATAACTGCATCGATTTGCTAGATTTGGAAGAAACTCATCTTTATAGCTCTAACTTTTGAAATTTATTAGATAAACAAATTAAAAAAATCACAAACATTCAAACAAACGGTGATGACAACGCTGAGAACATGCATTTGAGAACAATTAAATAACATTCTATCCAGTTCACTTGTCTTCTTTCTCATCAGACTCCAAATCGGGAAGATCTAGAACATTGAAATTCAGAACCGCTAGAGAACTTAATAACCTCCATCCTCGTCTTTGAGGTCATCCAAGCCATCGAAATCGGGAACTCCTGGCATACCTACATTTATGCAAAAAAGTATTGTTCTCAAACATACCTCCTTCACCCATTTGTTGTTGCATAAAAGCATCAAGATTAAAATCAGACATGGGGACATTTTCGTCAGCTACTTCGTCATCTTCATCAACCCATTTGTCAAAATCAACCCTCAACCAATGTACCTGTAATAACAATTAAAACATGAACAATCCGTTAAAATTTTACTTTTTTATTTTCTTTGAAAAGTCGTGGCCACCACTTAGCCTCCTTCTTAGGGATAGTAATTTCGAAAACTCTGTTCTCAACTTTCTTAATCCCACTTACATCAATCTAAGAATTAAACAAATTCGAATATATTAGTTTAGAACAAACTTCATCAAAGAGCACAATTGTGCATTCATATTTTTCATTGTGGCTGGATCCACTGCAAAACGGAAATACTATTGTCATTATTAATATGTTCTCTTACGCAAAATGCAACTTGTTTCCTTCAGTGACAGATAGATCCTCCAACTTAACCTCGTCAACTTCGAACTTCAACAAGATTAACTGTTCTCTTTGAGCCCAAAAAACAGCAGGTTGTCTCGTCATCACTGAAAACAGTATTCACGAATAGAACCGAGAAAGCTTACTACATATTGTACTATATACCATAAGGGTTAAATAATGTAACAATAAAACACGTTGTTATGAAATAAAACGCTCCAATATAGAAACGTCTAGAACACCAACAGCACTGAGCGCGCGCTTATAGGCCTAATAGCAAAATTTGAAAAATCGTTGCAGGACTATTTTCGTTCTTTTTTAGTACGCAGTCTAGTGAACCTCTCACCTATCTGATGATTATTGCTAATGTTCACAGAAGAAACATGGGATGAAAATCGCTTCGATTTGAGAATTTGGTTGACTATTGTTCCTCCTAATTGAATAAAAATTGAATGATTGATTAAGTTCATAAACTGTGAATCATTACACTTGAAATGAGCTGTAGAGAGAATTGTCAGAATTCAGATGAAACCAAGTTCAATCTTAATCATATACATGGATATTCACTGGAAGATTTATGATTTGATTGACACTTTGTCATTAGCGAGCAAAATATGTTCTGGTTATCTTTACTGATAAGAATAGCATGACCGTCCGTCAGTTGTGTTGTCTGTTGTAGAATTCAGATCACTATTGCTACTTCTGAAGAATTATTCAGCTAGTTTTAATATTCTTGAAGCTCTCAGAAATGGCTGGCAATACATTGATATATAGGTAAAAAAAATCGTTCTCGTTAACCCGTTTCATAGCTTATTCTTAATTTCAATCCTGCAAATGTCTCATGGATGCACTTTATGCCCTCTGCGGGTCCCACCTCGTCCACGTCCATTGAATCAGTACAAACTGCCAAGCCTTATGGAATTTGAGACTGATAATCAAAAACAATTTTGTATGATTCCTTGAGCTAACAATTGATGTAAATTTTGATAGGCAGTATAGCAAAAAATCTACAAGTTGACACCCAGTGCAGGGTTTCATTCGAAAGAATTATGTGTTCCATTGATAGCATGATGGGTTACACCACTTTCTCCTATATTTTTTACTCTTTGCAAAAATTTAGAAAAGTGTCCAGGGAACGAGAATCCTTTAGATTGCTCTTCGTGTTCGTATAAAAAGCAAAGAAGTGGTTGGATTTATAATTGTAACGATTAGTCCCTATTCGAATGTAAAATTCAAATTTAGGGATCGACTCATTAGGAAAACCTGGAGCTGGAATAAGTGATGGAAATTACTACTGGCTTGGAGATTATGAAACTTGCCAAGTTCTGCGGAAGTTTATAATAACTTAAGGAATTTACCATATAACTTAAATTCAGATCAGGGGATTTTGATGGAAAATATTGTAGAATAAAGCTAGAAGTTCCCGATTCTCTAGTAATATAGTAGTCAAAATCTGGAGTTCATGTTTTATTAAGGTGGAAGAGAATTGTCCTCAAACAGATCCTTTGGCTATCAATATTGGAGTCTGTTTTCCTGCTGCATGCTCATCGGAAACATTGGAGAATATTACAAGAAGTAAGCGATCATACGCTCATTCAAATGTATTATACAGTTTAGATATTTCTCCTTACCAGACACAAGTTGATTGCGAGTTTGAAGTCAATTGGTCATCTGCAGCAGCTGATATAACGTAGTTTGCCCGAATAAGTGATGAAAGTTTTCTCTCTTAATAATGTTCAGAACTATCTCCGGTTTTTGGGTTGCCTTCATTGTCATTATATCAGTATTGACTGCTTGTAATTATAAATTTTCTGCTCGTTTGCAACGAGCTTGCTCACTCCAACTCAATGTGAAAAAAGCACTATCAACAAAAAGGTAAGTTTTTTTTTCGAATTTTTAGTTTTTTTTTTCTTGAAGGATGCATATGGAACACCTTTATCCACTTCATGGAGCTGAGTTTCTCATTTTCATGTGCGTTATGACGGGGAACGTCTACAATTATGCCATGCCTTATATAGGTACTCGCAGATTCTTTTTTCAGTTCAACGTTATAAATCTAGAAAACGTGGCTTTTTCCTTTGATGGTGTTCACTCTCCATCCATGCTTCTGGTGAATAATTACTCATACCAAGTTGGACTACATCATAGGACAAGTATAAAAATTTTACTTGCAGATTGATGGTTTGTTTGCTCTCTCAGCCTTATATACAACATTTCTTTTGTATGGAAGTCTGAAGAAAGTCAAAGATGTTCTTAAAGTCTTTTTTGCTCGATTTTTAAGGTGTATAAAAAAATTAAGCAAATGTCAATTCTATTTTCAGAATATGGCCAGCGTATGTTTATTGTATCTTTTTCATGATGTTTGTGTTTGTGCGTGTCTCCTCCGGCCCTATGTGGATACATTCGGATACAGTTTGTCTTCCGATAATTTCCTTACTTGATGTTTCGACAGGTCCAGAGATGCAAAAGCAGTTGGTGGAAAAACATTTTGTTAATCAATAACTTCGATAGTGTGCGTAACACGGTAAACTTCTCGTTCCTAGGTTTTTACTATGACTGTTCAGTGTATTGATTTTGGTAGCGGGATATCCCTAGAAGCTCAGTTCTTCGCTGTGCTGCTTCTCATGATCTACTTAGCTCAATCTCATTTTGCTTCAGTTTTGGTATATTTTGCTAAAGTTTTACTCCTCAAATTTGGTTTCAAAGGGTTTCGCATTTCTAGCTTTATTCACATGTTGGACTACTTCATTTGTTTACATTTATTACAAGGTAATACCTCCAGTTCCTATTTTAACAGCCGAACCTATAGCGTAAGTTATGAACATGAAGTTTTTCTGAATTAAAATTGTAGCGAAGAAAAAATTGAAAAGATATTAGAAGTTATGCAATTTCCTCTATATCGGGCTCCAGCTTTTCTGATTGCTTTCATTTTTGGTGTTTTAATGAAAACAACATCTTCGGACGAAGAACCAAATAAAATACATGTTTTTTGGAGAAAGGTAACGAATGTGTAACCTGATACTTTTGAACCTTTTTTCTCAGTACTCACCAGGATTGCTTGTGATTTGGAATATAGTTTCTGTTTTCTTTGTGCTATTCGCTCTTTTTCCTTATGCCTCACGTAATATAGGACATCCGGTTTTCCTTGCTTTTTACTCATCCTTTCATCGTTCGTTATGGGTTACTTGCTTGCTATCATTCTTATATCTTGGAGAAAGAGGATACTTCAGTAATTTCTTATATATGGATTCATCATAAAATAAGAAATTTTTATGCTGGATGACAGCGGTTCTATCGTGGAGAGTGTTCTTCCCATTGTCAAAACTAACATGGATTGCTTTGGTTGTGGTAAGTTCTAAATATCAACCATATATATGATAGAACTCATTATTTTCAACTCAGGCCGAACCCGTGATTCTTTATTTCTTTACTTCTCTCAATCGCCCTTCATATGCGACTCATTGGAATATGGTTAGTTCTCCATGGTCTTTTCAAGTTTTTTATGCCTTCTCTACTACTCTCAATAGACTAGTTCTCTAAATAGCGGTTTTCCTCAGTTCCTTCATGTCTGTCAGCTCTCAATCACGTTTACTGACAGAACTGACGATATACTAGACGATCAAGAGAATTACTTGCGCTTCCAAGTCATCATTGCTTGTTGAATATTGTGTGAGCTTTTTGTCTTTGTTTCCAACCGAGCGACTAATCAAAGAAAACAAATATTTCTCATGAAGCTACTATTCAAGAACCGAGAATCTCGTGTTGAAACTAACGGAAGCTCTCGTTCCGCACCCGGAAGAACAGCAGCGGCAGGGCTCACATTGCTTATTCTAGATTGATGCCTTGAATCGTACATACTCGTTCTTTCTGCCTCACTCTGTACTTTATTCTTTCATGTTATACTTGTTCTTTTCAAGTTGGGTACGAGCAATCTGTCAAAACGAAATAGAAATTCAACCACACATCCGTTCTTATTCTTCCTCCATCTTAATCATTCTAAGTAGAATGGAGTAAGCTTTCGAATAATACCGACAAATGTTTCTTTCTTTCTCTCGATCTCTTTACACGAAGATGCCGGAAAAGGAAGCCGTTCGGTAATGGATATACCTGCTTCTTATTCTCTTTCGTATAGTCGAGCCGACCTTTAATATTCTCCTAGACCGACATCTGTTCTCTCTTCCCTTTATTTCTCAGCGAAACCTAACGAAGAAAATGAAAACAGAAGTTGACTTTACATGTGAATTTTCCAGTTACTCGGTAGCACATTACGTTACTCACGGCTCATGTGTTCAGTAAATGATACACTGAAATGTACTGTTGTTTAAAAAAAAGCATAAAGAAAACGACAGATGTGTACCATCCGACCCAAATAAGTCTTTAACAAATTCTTTTTTTTTTCAGATTTACTCTGCTATATCTGCAGCAACAATGAGCTATATGATAGCTTTCCTCATCGATATTTTCTTGACCAGGCCTATCAAAAGTCTTTTAACAAACCCGTCTATCGATTCATACACGGAATGTCGCAGAAATGAAAGACTAGAGCATCAAGAAAGGTGTGATTAAGTTCATCTAATAATTTCGAACCTCATCATTACCACGTAGGCCTTGTTTAAAATTATATAAATAAATCATTGTCCTTATCTTACTGTATATTCTCATTCTGTTCCTTCACTTTTTCGGCGGTTTCAAAAATATCAGGACCCAATTGAATGGAGTGAGAACGCTCAGACGTCATGAGAACTGTAAGTTGTGGCCTCTACCGACCTACATGACTCGGATCGTTCATGTAACAACGGCCCTGAATTCTTCTTTTGTCATTAAGCCATCAAAAGTAATGAAAAATTATATTAAAATTTATAATACATAGTTAACTATTTATAAACATATAATCTGACAAATGCGCAGCATGCATAAAATGTGATCAAAGTTGAGAAAAACATGGTAAAATAATTTTCAACAACTTCGGTAGAAGAAGTTAGATCCCGTACTCAAAAATGTGATCTGATGGGCTCGGAGTAATCTCAGAAGAAAAGGAAAATCAAGAGAGGAGAGTGTTGAAAACCTTTTTGTTATAGTCATTTTGTCTTACAAACACACAATCACTGAGAACAGAAAGAGAATAGCCAAGACGGAAAGGCTTTTTGGAAAAAAAATGTGAAACCGGCAGGGTCAGTCAGAGCTATAGTATTTGGCCTTAACAATACACAAAATGACTATCTTTTTGAATTTAATAGACTATATTGGTTTAATATTGGTTCTATGTTGGGCTTTTTTGAAGACTTCAACATTCTCGTCTTAGTGTCAGAGGGATACTGTAGATCTGGGGAAGGGGAGTAAGGGCAAAAGCAAAGAGACGAATGGAAAGAAACATAAGTTACGATAGAAGAGATTCACATGTGAGATATCTATGGAATGACAAGTACAGTATGAACCTAGATTTGTTAATACAATCAATATCCAGTATAACTATGTGGTAAGCCGTAAGGTGCATAATAACTTTGCATAGGATCATAAAATGGTTTCACATCTTGTCCATCGGGATACTTTAAAGCATCGTACGTACTAAGAGGAGTTGTTAATAAGTTTGTGCTGGAAATTCCATTGCTAGCTACAGCAGTAGTTGCCATTGGAGGTAGTATTGCAGAAGTAGGTGTGGGCAACATAGCTGAGGGCTGTTGATTGGTTAAAACTATAGATTGAGCCCAATCATTCGAAGTTACACCATTTGATGGTGTGGATGTCGTATTATTAGACCCGATTGATAAAATGGGTGTGCTTGCTGTAGGTGCGCCAGAACTTGCTACTGTACCACTAGATGGAGCATCCGATTCGCAATCGGGGGATTGAGCATCATGGGATTCTTCAGTTTCTCCCTCGTCGTCCGATCCTCGATCGGGACAGTTTTTCTGTTTCTTTTGTTTCGATCGTCGGTTTTGAAACCAAATTTTCACCTAAAAAAAAAGTTTTAAACATCCAGAAAAAATTGAATTATATGTCGGTTTCTTGAAAAAAAATTTAAGGAGGCCGTAAAGTTACATGTTAACACGCGGTCATTTCACACTTCTTTCGGTCAAGTTGTAAGAATTATGAGCCTTAGTAACAACCGACACATAAAAATTTACTGTTTGCTAATGGCGGCTGCCCCTCCCAGCAGGACATTTCAGATATCAAAGATTTTGTAAAATTGTGGTTATAAGCTGGCCATATGTCCTAATATATGAGACAACTTCATAGAAAATTTCTGTACATCACGCTCCTTTTTTACGTGGAACCTAATGTTCATCTTTTCCTATTGTTATGCTGCCACCAGTAATTAGCCAACACGGGTCGTGTGTGGGTCGCATGCACAATTCCTGACCAGGTAGGATATATAGAGACAGGCAGGTTAGATAAAGAAGAAAGAATGAACTACAGGGATGCCTCTTTACAATTCCTATACCATTCTTCTTTTCTCTATCGAATCGAGGCTACCGTAGGCCATTAAAGAATTTCACTGACTGGCTGACAGTCACATAGTGAATTTCTGATGAAACCTAAAGTTGTAAGTTGGGAGAGGCTCAATTTATAAGTATTGCATTCATTATTGGGCAGAAAACAGAGTTGTAGGTAAGAAAGCTAGCTGTAAACGAGCAAGGTCACATAAGACCTCGTAAAGCGTCAAAAATACGGCCTTTTAAGGAAGTCCCCCTGAGAGATGCAATGATGTTTTTTTAGGTATAAAACAATCGATGAAATAGCTTTCCGAGCTTAGCTTTCTGAGACTGCAAAAGGTCTAGAACAATATGTTGACGATTTCTTTCTCTCTAATGACAGTAGTTAAAAACTGAACTTTGCTGGCAGGATTACGGTAAGCTGGAGACATAATTGAAGGTCTTGAACGCAAGGGAATTGTTAGTGTTGACATTGATTTTTGATGGGTTGGGTAAGGAGAAATTCGATGAAAATACATGAATATTAAGAATGAAATTTTGGATGTTGATTAAAAGTAGATTTCCGGAGAATTTTGCTTGAAATGGTCAAGATGTGGTAAATAGATAAGAATGACATCTGTTGATATTATGTGATTGATGAATGACAAGCTGCTACCTGCACATGAAGAACAGACAGTTGAGTGTAAAGGATTCCAGATAAAATCTTAAGACAACAGGTGATTGTGTATATGTCTCCTTGTCAATCTCACAAAAAAAACTGTCAATTTAACCATAATTAGCAAGTTCGGTTCTGTACGTAAGGATTATACAGACTTCCTGCGAAAATGCCGTTAGTCAACTACTGCCAATCCAACAGATGTATTCATAAGTTGCAAAGAAAAAACATTCGTGTTTCACAACGGGATATCTTAATCCGCTTTTCTGTCGCGAGCACACTCTCGAAGGAAAGATACATGTACGAGCTCCTTGTCCTAATCTACCCAAAACTTCCGACTTGACAGTATGATGAAAGAAAAAAGTATTGAAGAGCTAGTTTTGTTCAATATTTAGAAGCGTAGTTTCCCATACGATAAAGGACAAAATCAACCATACAGTAACCAAATAATATTGCCACAAGTGCCTTGATCGCTCTGTCTTTTCCAAAAGGAAACACATACACACTGACGCGCACATAAACATCTAATACTGTATCAATAAAAAGAACTAATACCAGACTATCCTCAAGACACCCAGACAGGAGAAAATATTGAAAAAAAACATTGTAATGCTTACTTGTGTTTGTGTCAATCCAAGTTCTGCAGCCAATGATGCTCTGTCAGGGAGAGCAAGATACTGAGTTTTAATAAACCTTAAACTCAACATAAAATGAAAATCGAAAATTTTTTAAAAAACCTCTTTTGAAGCATCGCTAACTGTTGACTGGAATAAATAGTACGAGGTTTACGCACTTTTTTCCCGTTTTTGTTTATTTTAACTTCTGAACCTTCTTGAATTTTGGTCGTAATGTGTTCTATAATTTGATGACTTTTCAAAATGAGCAAAGAAATGTTCTACCTTCAGGAGAATTAGTTGTGGGATGAGGGTAAATGAAATGCGATTGTGGCTGAGTGTACATGGAACTCGCCGCAGAAGTTGGAAAAGTCGGACAAAAGTATGAGCCAACTCCATTACGAGCAGCTGCGAAATCTGGCACTGCAGCCGAGGTTTGGTTTTGATAATATCCGTAGCTATTCGAGTAATCAGAAGCAAACGGCTTTTGATCCATATCCATTGCAACAGTTATAGTTGAAGGATGAGAACAAAAGTATGGAAAGAAAAGATGTGAGAAACCTTAAAAGTACAATAATTTAATGTAGTCAGTTATTTGAGCATTAAAGCTTTGGAAAAGAATAATAAACATTAATAGTAATTCTAAAAGGGTGGTGAAAGAGAGAAAAGACACTGCTTAACTCAGACTGCGGTAGTCTCTTGCCACGCCCACCTCAAACATTATTGGTTGACTCCGCCCATTATCCAAGAGGATGTGAGTGGTTTTGCTAAACGAAGAAAAAAATAAAAAGAACAGATGATTTTTGGGATTGTAATGCAACTATCGAAATGAAATGGGTACATTCGAAAAACCCTTATTAGGTTTTTTGGGTTTTTTCCTCTTGCCAACTGCTACAAGAATCTAATAAGATCAATAGCACCAGCAGCACTAGAACTTACGAAACGTTTAATCCTTACGGATATCTCAAATTAATCTTATTTTACTATAGTTTTATTCTAATAAAGCTTGTATCGTTATCAGACATCATGCCGTATATTGCTCATTTGTTCGGCTTTCGGAAAGATTTGGAAAATCCGATATGAGAGACAGGTCGATGGACCTCCCGCTGCTCATAGACATTGTTAACAATATGTAATTATAAGTATAAAATAGGAACGTTCTGTTCTTCTTTGAATCTTTTATATGTAGGTTTTTTATTCTCTCTCGAATATCGTTTTGCAAGAACCTTGGCTTCTAGATGTCATAGTTCGGAGCTTATTGCTATGAGCATTCTCTATCTTTTTTCTAAATCACCGAACACTCCGCAGGTTATGTACATGACCAAGCTCCTCATGGGTGTTGCCGATTCGAGAACACCGCAGGCTCTTCGCTACAGCAGATGTCCGACTGTGCAAAAAATGCTTTTAGCATTTACATAGGGACGGCTATTCATCACGGCACGTGTATAGTAGGACTCAATACCTTTTTGATAACGATTCAAGACTTTATCTATATAATTTCCAAAATAGGCTCATGTGTTTTGAAAAACTTCCGTCAAAACAAATGATCGCGAAGGCAGATCTGAAATCTGCAAAATATATACAGTAGACATAAGGTTTATAAACGATCTGGATAGGAAGAAGCCTGTTTTCGTTTAACAAACCTTTAGGAAGTTGTTTTGAGTTAACAGAGAAACTATTCGCTCAAAAATAACACCAAGTATTTTTATTGACGTCAATAATGAGTCAAAATTCAAGCGGAACTTTCACTGTCAATAACAGTAGAAATGACCTCCAACATCAAAAAATAATTTTTTTCGAATATTCTGAGAATCCGGTCTCACAGTTTTAGTTGGCCTCAGAATTACCTGTATGAACGATTGGAAGGCCAGGGCATAGGTCTGTTGAGCAATTTAGAAAACATCTGGCTCATTTACTATTTACTTTCTATCGATCTTATCTCATTCCCTTGAAATTTTGTTGAAGCTCCTGAATGGTAAAAAAAATCATCCGAAATAAGCTGTTGAACAGAAATATATTTCATATTCACAACGGAAAAACTGAAAGAGAGAGAGAGAGAGAGAGAGAGAAGAGGAAGACAGGGACCAGATAATTGCAGTTCCGGATAGACTATCCCCCATCTTTCAATGCCTTTTTCATTTTCTTTTCTTTTCAAAACGTCTGAAATTCTCGTCCCAAACTTCTCGCATTTTAACCAAAAACACGATTCCGTGAGAGGAAAAATCCAATATATTCTTCAAAAATATCAGAAAAAGAATAGTTCGTATGGAGCTCCGGTGTCTCAGAAGCTCGGAAATATATCTCTGAAGAAACCGCTGCTAGTTAATTACTCGGCCATCTGTTCCCAAAGTCTCCCAGCCTGGTAATACCTTTGAATTTTCGACAGTTAGAACAGATGCATCGCATGAGCTATTTTTTTAAACATTTGAACCTTTTGAGAAAAAAAGCTATGATATAATAATTAATATATTAACAAGATAAAAATCTTTATTGAGAACAGATGGAATAAGTGTGAATGATATAAGTTTTGAAAACGGAGTAATTATTTTCATCTTCGGCTCGAAAAAAGCCATCAAATATATAATAATGAGTATGACAGCCTTCTGTATTCTCAACTCAGCAGCCATGAATCCACATAATGCTCACTGCTCAAGGCACGAAGCAACTAAACCAGCTACTAAACCGTAGACCATAATTATGCGGAATGCAAGATATGTCCCGGAATATGTGTGACGATCATCAATCGGCGGAGTAGGAAGAGAGAAAAGAGAATAGTTGCAATATGGATAGTATTGGAGCCGAGACAGGAAAAGCACATAGAAGAAATCTATAAAATAAAGAAAATGCTAAAGAAAGAACCAAAGCAGTAGGTCGAAGAAAGTTTTTCCGGTCCATTCACAGCATAGCCTGGCAAGAAACTTGAAGAATAACGAGCAGATTCAATAACCCGAGGGAGAAATAATTCATATGCTCAACAGACAATGCACTTCATCCACGCATTAAAAAACAAAAAAAAAACACTCATACGTTCATCACAGTTTATTGCTATAGTAGCCAGGTGAGCCTCGATCAGGTGAGCCTCATCACGATTGCGCCATGAAAGATCTAAAATATTAGAGATATGTTGAAAGATAGGTAGGACGTCATGCAGAGAAATAGAGTTAGTTAAACAAAAACAACTACGAAATTAAATTGGTACCAGCGAGCCATCTGCTATTTGATGTACATAACTTGCTTCCTGAGATTATTTATAATCAACGCCAATTTTACGTCTGGCATTATGCTTGACGCGTTTCGAGTTTGACCCTTCGCTCGCCGTTGTAAGGTCGTTAATATT